TCATGACTAGTTATATCAGCTAAATAATGTAAAGGGCAGTTACTAAACCTACTTTGGTACAGACTACACACAGCCCAGGAACCTACTGACTCCATCAGGTCATGTGTCTTTTAAAACTCTTTATTCTCCTGTTCATAGGCTCTAGAAAGAACGCACTACAGCAATATACTTGCATAACAGTTATACCCCTGAAGCAACTTGTATTTTCATTTTTAAAATGCAGCTTAAGAGATAACTTAGTATTATTTTTCAGAATTCCAGTCCTGTCTCCTATTTCCATATGTCACGTGCAAAACCATTAATTTATTCTGAATTTGGGAAATACACATTTTTTTGGTGTTTTAGGTGATTTAAATGCTGTTTTGGTAGTGAATGACTGTTGATGACTGTGTAAAATGCATCTGTACTGTACATGAAATGTAATTATTTCTGTGTATCATACAAAGAAACCAAGGTTGTTGTTTTGACAATTTTGTTTGACAGTCATATATCGTATTTCAGAAGGCAGCATAATACACGTGTTATGCTGAATAAATAGACATTTGAGGAATATTTAAATAAAACATCTGCATGCTTGAATGGGTCAACTTGGTTTTGCAATAACTTATTCATGAAACTTTTTTCCACCTCTAATAATTTGGAAGGAACACTGAATCTGAAGTCAGCAAATGTCCTAGACAGTAATTCCAGGCAAGATGTGAGTGTATCTAAACCCTACTAGAGCCATCAAGACCAGAATGCCACAGCTCCAGTAGAGTTGCCCTTCTCCTGAGGGACCAGCCATTACCTTTCCCTTCCCAGGTGCAGCAGCACAGAAAACTGGAGCATTATTTCCAGCAGTTATGAACTCCACCTCTTTATCTGTACTTTAAGAAATGTCCCTTACAAACATCCAAAAAACAAACTGCTCTGCTGAACTTCTCATACCTGGTATCAAATTCTCTTGATAAAATACTAGTGCACAGAGAAGATCAAACCCTTTGTAGCCTAAGAGCAGATAGTAACACACCATTGGATCACGAATGAAAGGCAGCTGGGTACAGAGGATGTTGATCAACCCTGGCACACCTGATGGCTGCCTCTGCCAGGAGCTCACTGCTCTGGGTGGTGGGGAAAGATAACAGATAACATCTGTCTGTGAACCATCCCAGAGCATTTTTGAGAACAACTGTCCTCTCATAAAATAGCTACAGAAGGCAAACTGAAAACATGCAGTTTACATTCTGAAGTTGTGGATATACTCTAGGTGGAAGCACCCTGGCTACCAAGAGAAGGCTTTCACAGCAGGGAACCCAATGCTGCAGAGAGAAGAGAGCCTTCAGAGGGGAAGCAGATCTGGAGGGGGACAAATTACTGAAGCCACAGGATCATTAAATTTTGGGCAGGGAGCGTGGTTAGGAGGTCATAAGCTCTCTTTGCTGCACCTGAGGCCCACCAGGGCTTTATTTTACAACTGACTATGGGAATATTTTAGCACCATCACCTGTTCTAGAGGAGCCATCAGCTGATGGGATGTATAAACATGTGGCTAAAAGAGTAGATTGGCAGTGTCCAGCAGATATATGGAATAATCCAGCAGCTTAGTTTCTTACCTGCCAATGTCATCAAGCTGTCTACTTCACAGTATCTACACACAAGGAACTGAAGTTGGGGGAGTGCTGAATGAAAAGGAGGCGGATATAAAAAAATTCTCAAAAGTTTAGGATATCACTTTTTTTTTTTAACGGGAAGTAGTCAATCATACACAAGTTGGAAAGTTTTAGATACAATCTCACTTCAACAATAGCATTTTGCATGAATTAAATGCAATGCTTGTGGTGGGCTGACTACACTGGAAGGATGCCAGATGTCCACCAAAGCCACTCTGTTCCCTCCTCAGCTGGGCAGGGAAGAGAAAATGTAGCAAAATAATATATCTTGGGCAGGGAGAGATCACTCACTGACTGCTGTCATAGAAAAAACAGTCTTCACTTGCTGCAATTTATTACCAATCAAATCCAAATAGAGTAATAAAATATAAAACAACTTCCCCCCATCCTTCCCTTTTTCCCAAGCTCAACTTTATTTCTGAACTCTACCTCCTCCTCAGAGGTGCAGGGAGACAGGAAATGAGGTCTGTGGTCAGTTCATCATGTGTTTTCTGATGCTCTCTCCTCCTCCCAGGAAGGGCTCCTCACACTCTTTACGTGCTCCAGTATGGGGTCCCTTCCATGGGAGATGGTTCTCCACAAACATGGAGTGGAGAACTCCTTCTCATGGGCTGCAGTTCTTCATGAACTGCTCCAGCATGGGTTCCCCACATGGTCACACACAGCTGCCATCAGACCTGCTGCAGCGTGGGTTCCTCTCTCCACAGGTCCTGCCAGGAGCCTGTTCCAGTGGGGCTATGCACAGGGTCACAGCTTCCTTCAGGCACCCACCTGCTCCGGTGTGGGCTCCCCCCGGGCTGCAGGTGGATCTCTGCTCAGCATGGACCTCCACAGGCTGCAGGGACACAGCCTGTGGCACCACGGGCTGCACCACTGGCTGCAGGGGAACCTCTGCTCTGGTGCCTGGAGCATGTCCTGCCCTTCCTTCTTCACTGACCTTTGTGTCTGCAGAGCAGCTCCTCTCATTCCTCTCTCCAGCTGCACTTGCTGTTGCCACAACCACTTTTTGCGCTTCTTACACAGCTATCCCAGAGGTGTCACCCCTGTCACCAAAGGGCTCGGCCAGCAGTGGGTGTGTGCTGGTTGGCTCTGGCTCTGTCAGACACAGGGGAAGCTTCTCAGCTTCTCACAGAAATCACCCCACGGCCTCCCCACTACTGTGCCATGCAAACACTTAGTGTTTCAATGTTGTAAGATTTTAATAATTTGTGTTTTTCTACACAGTTTACAGAATGACAGAATATTCTGAGTTGGAAGGGACACGCAAGGACCAAGTCCAACCCTTAAGTGAACAGCCCATATGGGGATTGAGCTTGCAACCTTAGCATTATTAGCACCATGCTCTGAGACCAAATACAATGCTTTCGCAATAAAAACTTTAAAAGCTATTTATAAATCCCTTCCTCCACCACATTTAACTATATAGTTGCTCTGACCAACAGCCTCTCTTTTTACTATTCATTCTTTATATGTTCCCTTATATTCATATATACTTTCACAAAATGAAAAGCTATAAAAAAAAAAATACAGCTCTTTCCTTCCAAAAATCTTGCCATACAACCTGTTGGCAGATGAGTTAATACCAGGATCAGATCCAAGGACCATAAATAGTGAGTTTTGCCTCTCAAAAGCATGCTCAGTCCCACAGCAACATGTCACACAGTCCCATGGACTTGGTACAGTCACTGGGCTGAACACAAAACTTGGTGCTGGCAGGAAGTGACCCCTTTTTCTGATACAGTTGCACTCCTTGAGTGCTCTCTGAAAAATGTTAAGGAGCATCTCTGTAGTTGTTTGCTGCAACAAGAAAGATTTAGTTCATTACACTTCATGCTGCAGAGAACAAAACCACACCATCCTTCTCCATGTAAAACTGAGGAAAAAAGAAAATAAGAGGAAGTAGTTTTCACTGCCTCAACTATCTCGAAATGTTCCTGTCTTGCCAAGCAGCCTCTCTTCTACATAGATTTTAAAGCTCTACAGGAAAAGAGCAGGCTCACTGCAGCCTAGCCAATTAATTTTAAGGCTCTTTGAAGAAGCCCTAGAAAAACAGGCACCTGATAGCCTGAGCAGTCAAAGAAAAAATTCTTGAAGTGTTCCAATTTATAGATGAGACCTATTTCTGCAAATGTGGTTAAATACTCAAAATAGAAATATTCTTTCCCAGAATGTAGACAGGCTCAGGATTTGGGTAGCCAAGCCCAAGTGAGGTTTTCCTGACTGCAAATGTTCATTGTTGTGGAGGCCCATAAACACTGCTTTGGAAGGTTGGCTCTGTGTCAAAGGAGGCCTCCCCAAAGCAATCCCTGTGCTGTTAAAGAAACCTGACTATACCTGAAGGCAGTGCTTCCTCAGCACCCAGCCAGCTTAAAACCAAATGACCTGGGCTCTAAGTATCTCAGAATCCCAACACAACCCCCCTATTTGTTCCTTGATGAGCTCTAACCCGATACAAGAAGATACACAGGCAACCCCCATGACAGTCTGAACAGTCCTTGTATGGAAAGACCAGGAATATTTGAAGCATGGCTAAGCATGGCTTCCACAGACACTCCTGGGGTAAAACTTTAAGAGCTGAGGTTTCCCCTGGAAAAAGGGAATTTTATATTTCTTTTTACATTACTTAAGTGAAATTCCCTACATTCAGCAGTAATTCACTGCCAAATGTAGCTGTGTACACGTAATCCATAATCAAGGTTCCACAATTTGTGGTTTGTGTGGACTTTTTTTTTTGTTTTAAACGGGCAAATGATAACTCAAGGCAGTGCGTAGCAGCACTGGTGCCAGTGGCACGCTGAAGCCTGGAGTTGCTCTGCACTCAGACTTTGTCAGACACCTGCTCCTCAGCAGGAAGCCCACCCTGAGCTCAGGCACCCAGGCTGAGCAGTGGGAGGGGTGGAACTCGGCTCTACCTGTGCAGCAACATCGGGACAAGGCTTCCCAAGCAGAACATAAGAATGTATTCCTGACAAAGACACTCCAAGCAAAATTTTGGGATGGTCTCTCCTTTTATCTTCTTTTTACCTCCCAAAATAAGTATTAGCATCTGTAGAAGTACAAAAGCAGAAAGGCAGTCTTGCTTGCAATAGTACCCTTGAAATAATTATACCCAGAAGCAGACCGCTGAAAAGCAAATAGCTCACACAACTGAAGTGCTTAATTTCACAAGCCCTTAAGAAGTTTTCTCACAAGCAATAAAAAAAAGAAAATTATACTAACATTGCAGTTTCTCCACAACAGAGTAAGTGAAATGGGTAAGTCAAATTAACTCACACCAGCAGGAGGACCCTCCCAATGCCCATCCAAAGCACTCCCACTCTAGGACTAAAAAAAATAAAAGCCATTACAGAATTTAAGAGAAAAGTAATTTTATTGTCTACCAAATCACACCTTGTTTTCTTTTTTCTTTTACAAATTCCAAAACAAATGAACTAATTTTTTAAATGTAATATTATGTAAAAAGCCCATTTGCCACAAACTACTATACTCAGTGGAACAAATATATATTTCAAGAGCGTGGCCAATTGCAAAAATAATCCTATGACATAGACATTGTTCATAAAAATACAGTAAAATGCACTTTCCCCACCTCAATAAATACATTTTAATCTGTTTCCGGCTGGCATTTTAAGCCACCAGAGAGTTCTTAATGAAGCACTCATCAAAGTAAAATTTTTCCTCATGTATTTTTACAATTATTGCAATAGCATCCAGAACTGTAAGCATTTTTATTGCAGTTTTTTGTTTCTAGCTTCAGGGGAATCATGGACAGGAGAAAAGATTTACCTATAAAAATGTGCTACTCCCATATTGATTCCCATTTTGGAAAGAATGTTTAAGGTTTTCTTCCTTTTTACTACAAAACAGTCGACAGAACAAACTGTTTGAATGAAGAATTCTCCAGAAAACTAAAGTCTATTGTCCGCAGCAATAGTTTTGTTTTCAATCCCTGTTTAATATATTTTAAACTAAAAAAAACATTATGTTAGATAAAAATAGAAGTTTTAGAACATCTTTAAGAACAAAAACTAAGATAAAGGTTTTGTTAGAAAAAAGAAAATCTCGCCCTTTTCACAAATCTTGCAAATTTTTTAATCCAAGTATTAACTTGAATTGTAGCTCTGCTTTCCATGCACACATGAAAACACACAATTATACATACATAGATCCCTGATAAAGACATTTTCCAAATGGCTTATTAAAAGTCTATTTCAGCTGAAGTCACATTTTGTTTGCTCAAAGCACAGTTGATTCTTCAGAAGATGAATATTTCTCTTCCCTTCCCATGATGCTTCCTTGCAGGTTCAGTCTACCTGTGATTGAGTCAGTGTTTTACACTTCACACAGCTTGTGACAGTGAGTATTACTGTGCCCACCTGAATGAGTGCCTTTTAAAAACTGAGCACACAAAATCAACTCTTTTTCACAGCTGAGGACATGGCTAAGAGGCTGGCAACAGGCTCATCTTTCTTTGTTGGTCTCCTTCACTTCCATTCATTAGCTGGTTTCTGACACATAAGAAGACTGGTATATTTGATGGAACAGAACAGAAGTAACAACAAAACAAAAATCCTCTGTGATGTCACAGATTCACTGCATCGCTTATAGCTCTTCCATCTCAAAGTGTGTATTAAAGCTGTTTGCCATGGATGTATGCTCAAAGATCCTGGTCAGGCTTGGTTTCAGCAGCTCCATGGAATGACATGACAGCTCCTGCGAGGTATCACTCTTCAGTGCCATGATCTGATCTGCTCTGGGATCCCTTCTGTCATAGTACAGAGCCCACAGCAAAGTAATAGTGAGGATCATAGCCAGGATCTGCATTACTCCAATAGAGATTCCCAGGAATCTCAGCACTTGCAACTGCTTCGTCCCCCTCAAGAAAGTGTACATTTTTTTACCACATCCCTATAAAACAAAATAGATTAAAAAACAGTCAGTATTATTTGGGTTGCAGTTCCCAAGGCTTAGCTCATTCTACTCACTGCTGTCTTTTCTGGCTCACAAGAATCTCTCACTTCCTTCAAACAATATTTTGAACATTATTTTTCCTACCTTTTAACTGCTTCCATAATGCTAACTTTAACTTTTCTCATTTCTTACACAGAAACTTTACTGAAAGATAGCTGTGCTACTTTTCAGAAATCACTCAAAGTTAATCTGAATTACTATCAACTCTCACTAATTGTTAAAGAAACTGAACTGGTTTTGTGAAGGTTTAAAAAGCCATTAAAATCCTTTTTATTATCTTGTTTCTCTCTTTAAATTGAAGATCTTCAAAGTTGTCAATTATTTTAAACTCTTTTAGACTTTTCCTACACATAATACTACACTCTGAAGCTAAAACAGTATTGTAGGAAAGATCTATGGACTTGTGTAACGTCATCAGAAAACATCCCATGAAGACTATGTTAAAACATTGTAAGCTGATGTTCACAGAAATGCAATTTAGCTCTTTCCAAACCTTCAATACAGGCTCCACAGTTTGCTTACAAGGCCAACTAACTACCCCATAAGGCCTCAGAAAAGCTCCCAAGCCTGTGTAAGGCTGCACAGATGCACAGAGGCAGCAGCTTTACAAAAAGCTAGCTGGCAGTGCAAGCACAAGTTACAATGTTACGTCGCTCAGTAAGGGTGACGTGAGTCTTAGAGACGATAAAACCCAGAAGAGAGGGGCCTCTGCTGCTCTGCATGATGCTTATTCTCTAAGCTTTGCAGGGTTTCACAGCACAATTATCAAAGCAACATACATATCAAGGGGAAACTCAGAGTAACCAACTGGATGGGCAATGGTCCCAGACACAGACATCAGGAATCCATCAAAATGGGCACTGTCTTGAGAATGCTATTTTTTGCATTTATATCCTCACTTCATATTTCTTATGGCTTTTCTAAGAAAATAAAGCAATCGATCAAAGTGATGGAATCTGAAGACAGGACATGATAAATAACACTTTTCAATCACACTTAAATTCCCCAAAGCTAATTTCCCCAAAGCCAATTTCAAATGCTACAGTCCTAAAAGTATTTGATGTAAGGTCCAATTTTTGCCACACACACAGAATTCACACTGTAGTCAACAGATTTTCATTTAGGATCTAAATAAAATTAATGTACTCTATGATAATTCCACCAGAATAAATTACAGAATCTCAATGTATTTGCTTGCTTCATTGTTTCATTTTCTAAATATCAGCAAAGACACAAAAAAAGGAGCAAGCATGTATTCTTTGAAATTTCAAAAGAAAAAGAAGCAACAATGTAGCAAAAGCAATGTAATTGGACTTGGGGGGGGGACAAAAACTGTCACATCAGCATCTTCTTTTCTTCAATTGGAAGGCAGTTGCAGCTATATCACTTCCCAAATTTGTTGTTAATTACAGAGAAACTGGCTGCATTCTAAAACTTCTAACTTAGAGATGAAGGTGCATGCTGGTCACAATTTTAAAATGTTCCACCACAGCAATATTCAAACTTAGTTCATTTGTTGCCTAGAGAAAACACCCACTAACAGAGAGCAATAACATTAACGCCTACATCTCCTGCAGTACACAGACACGGAACTGAGACAAATTGCGCCCAATCTAGGTAGACTGTTTTCCTCCATTCAATGATGTTCTTAGAGCTCTGCTCTAATACATGTTCAAAATCAGTTTCAAAACTGAGAAAACACAGCCAGCCTTGTTAATTTCATATTCATGCATTTTATTTCTGCTTATGTGACACTTCCATAGTTGGCAGCCTGCAATTAAACAGTACATAAATACACTTCCCTCAGCAAAAGCTTGTCACTAAATCGGGAGCTCTTGTTGACAAATCAAATATAGTATAACACTGCAGCAATCATTCAGGAGAATCAGCTCCAGACTCCTACAAAGCTACAGATTAAAGGCCTGATTCATTTGCTTTACACTTTCAGTCTTGAGATAGAAAAAAGAACGTATTTCTTATTTAGCATATATTACTGATTTACTTCATCACAGAATAAGAATCTGAACTGAAATAAAGCACTTCACTGAGCAGAAAAGATAAGCCATTAGCAAACTCAACAAATCTTCCGTACATCCAAATTTTGAGTATACTCAAAAGTATATTAAAGCAAGTTGTAAAATTAAACATTAAAACAAACCAAAATTGTGGTAAAATTAATTTAATTAAAATGAATTTTGAGTATACTCAAAACTATGCCAGAAACCAAAAGAAAATATTGAACATGCAAGTTTGATTTTTTAAGATATCGATTCCCACCAATCATTTTATCTACACTGCAGCTCCCAATCACAAGATGGGCAGAGCTCCTCTTGTCCTCAGACCACAACAAACCTCCAAGGCCACATTATCATCTTCACATTTCCCCCACAACCATGCTCTAAAGTCAGTCTGTTCATGAAACTGCACCAAAGGCAAAGCTCATCAGAATAAAAGCAATTCAAGAAACTGAAAAATAGCTTTTAATATCCAGCAGGGAAAATATGACTCCTGCCAAAAGTACTTTCAAGCAGAACTGTAAGTCACCTTTCTGCAAAAATTAAATTTTGAAGGATTCCAACTTAGACTACAGAAAGTTCCGAGTTCCCGGCAAAAAATCACAGCATAGCTACAAAAAAAACACACTTATCAGTCCCAGACAAACCAAACTTCAGTTTTCTGAAGTACTACAAAGAATTTTTCTGAAGTACCAGAATGGACTTGCCAAATATTTACATAAACCAATTTTAGGCTAGCGAGGCTAATCTTATCAGGCTCCTTCTCAAACCACCAGACTATGCAAGTTTGGTTTGAATCACTTTCTAAAAAAGCTTTTTTCCTTCGGTTCTCCAAAGCAGAAGTTAGGCAGATTAGTCTTGGAAGTGTAAGCTGGTTTTGCATAATACTGATAAACTTATTAGGAAGCATACTCTAAGAGTCTGTGAGACACCCCACAGGCAAGCGTCACGCGAAGAATCATCTTGCCAACAAAATATTGTATGTATCTCCAAGAGAAATGAAGTATTTTTGTGGCTGATACTACCAAACACAGCCTGTCACTTTTTGGAATGGATTCTGCTGTGGAGAACCAAAAATAAATTTTTGCTAACTGCTGAATCCATGCAAAATGGTCTGTGGTACAATAAGGGAAAAACCATAAGTGTGCCCTTCAGATTTCTTTTGGAAAAAAAAAAGCAAAGCAGCCGTTCTTTTATCAAGAAGGTCTTAACACAGCCATTATGTCCTACATAATAATCATCTTTGGCTATTAATTTTCTCCAAACAGAATCAAAAGAACTTGATCACATAAAGTGCTCAAAGAGCCATTTTCCTGGAATATGGCATGGGCATGAAATGTTAGCAAAAGAGGTGACACAAGAAAACCTTGCACTTTGGACACTACATTCCAATAACTAATACTTCTCAGAAATTTTTGAGCTTCCTGTGCTCAAACAGCAGTTATTCATTGAGTGACACTGCTTACATACTCCTGCCTTTTCAGGCAGGGAGCAAATGAACGTTCTACAGTTCTATATACTCCTTGGAGGCTCTCTACAACAGACTTATCTGTATGGTAGCAACAGTATTACATAAAGCAACCATTATTGCAGAGTGAGCCACAATTTTTAGCTTTTCAAAACATGCAAGGGACTGACAGAAGAAGCATGAATGCCTTTCTCATTCAGGAACTGACACTCCTAAAGCATAACCAGTGCTGTCAGTGCTGTGAGCCTTGCAAAAAGGCAAGAGAAGGTCTACAAGTAGCTGGTGGGAAAAAACCCAACCTCTGCCACCGTCTTTAAGGTTCCTTAGCACAGACTGGCCTTCTGAGGCACCTGCCTTTTGGCAGCTCTATCTTCTCTCTTCCTAGTGGAAGCACACAGCCTCCTAAAACGAATGTCTGAAAGTCCAGATTAGATTAAATAATTTCTATTCATAGAGTCAATACCACACAAATCAATTTCCCTAAAACTCGACTGTTTCCTGACAAAAATGGTAATACCTTGCTACTATCATGACCTCCCTTACCCACTTCAAACAGATCCTTGCCTTGTTTTAAGGCTTTCTTTGTAATTCTTTTTACATTATCATAGTGTAGTGTAGAAAGAGCATTTTCACAAGTTTCTACACATGCTCAGAGTACAACAGTCCAATTATCTGCCTCCTGACATGATTCCTGTTAACAAGAGAGCTCTTATCTTTTAAAGGAAATACTAAAAGCATCCTTCACTGTACAATTCACTAAAGTACTCTTCCACTTACCCTGTGGTAGTTTGATGGGATGGAACCTGGACATTACATCACATCTAATTTATAACTTTTGGATTGGAACAAACTAGAACTCCAACCTAACCAATATAAAACAAACACTTCAAATTTTAAGTACATCTCAGGTTTTAATGGCATTGCCACTAACTCATCTCATTTCCAGGTAAGGGTGGGTGGGTGCGTGGGTTTGTTCTTTCTTTTCTCCCTCGCTTCAGCATTAGCAAATAATAACCATAAACACTTTCCGTAAACTACTACTCTACAAAAAATTATCTATTGCACTTCAAGTGATGAATTTGGAAAATTATTGGCTCAGGAATAATGTACAAAACCTCCTAACATATTCATACTTTTCTCCTTACCTCCTGATAAAGGTCACTGAGATCCTCGTGATGTGCCTGCTTAGAGCATCCTGGGAACTCTCTGACACAACAGGAGTCAGGTGGCCAGTCCAATTCTGTCATTTCCAGCCAGTCTGTGAAGTACACCACGCCACAACATTTAAACTGCAAAGGAAGGATTAGCCGAGATCAGTAATAATGATGCTACTTCTTCAACAGGTTAAGCATGTCATCAAAAAACTTAAGTTCCTAATACCAACATTCAAAATATTTACATAGAACTAAAAACATCTGTGAGTGCTTCCATGTATCTTGTTTTGCTGTACTTTGACATAAAAGCAACATGAAAAATGTAATGTAGTGACCAATGAATACTTCAGAAATAGCCAACAATACTGTTCTGTCCTTTAAATCCCAATTGCTCCCTCAAAGGATGCTTCACAGAAATTGTCCTATCTCTGGATTCTCCTATCCTTACTACAAGGAACTAAGACAATTTCATGTCAAAATGGGGACTAATGAACAAGTACAAGTGGCTGAAGGGGGTAGCAGAAAAAGGTCATACTAGTGAGGACTATTCTTGCAAGGGTACAACTACAGACACATTTGCTGAAAACAGAAAAAGCACAGATTTACCTGAACATAAGAAAAAAAATTAAAAGAGTAAGCAAAAATGTATAGAAATCACAAATGCTGAAAAACTGAAAATGGAAGGAAGAAGTATCACATTAAAATAAATACTGCAACAGAATCAACCACAAAAATAAGAAGTTTGGCTGCAAAGCAGATGAGCTGTAACTGGCTACAAAACCCACCAGGACTAACAACCTGTCTTCTTCTCTGCAAAGTACACCCTGAGGTTAAAAGCCAAATGACCAGCCTCCCACATTAGCAGCTGCTTTCACACAGAAAATGGTGAAGCAGCTACCTTAGATCTGGTTTGGCACTGGATGTGGACTTGACATGACTGAAAAGATGCTTTGCTGCAGAAACAAGATGCTACCTTTCTCTGCCTGAACGTCCTCCAGGACCAGCCTGTGTGTAAGTAATTCACTGAGTCCTTTGATCCACAGGCTTGGGAACACAGCTGCCCCTCTCTACCTGCTTCAGAGCCAGGCTCCTGTATTCCACAGCACTCATTGTTCACAATCAAGCAGATCAGTGCTCAGACATGCTGGCACACACTGTGCCTTTAATTCACCGGTCCTCTTAAAAATCTCACTTCTCCCTTCTATACCACAGCTCTCATGTCGCAGTTTTTATTGGTTTGTTACTCAAACTCCTCCCAGCAGTGGACTTCAAGGAAATCTCAAGCTTTGGCTCCTCATTGCAATTGCAAAGACCACCTCATTAAACACCCTTTTCTTGTATCTTTGTTCTCTTCTATCTTTTCTTCCCCCATCAAGCTCTTCTTTGCTGACCTTTTCCATCTTCCCTACCATAGTCACAATTTTGATTTCAGACTAGCAAGAAAATTGGGGGAAAACACATTTCCCATCTCCCTCAGATGTTAAAAGATACAGAAGAAAGAATACCAAGCTGATCAGGGCTGAACCTCTGAAGAGAAATTGCAACACAGATTTGAACAGAACAGACTTGAAATTGCAACACAGATTTGAACAGAACTGCAATTACAATTCTGCTGACTGTAGAAGGGCTACAAGTGCTTATTCAGACATAGAGCACATGCCAGGCTCATACATCCAGCATCTAAACTATGAGTAGATGGAATATAAATGAGAGCCCATCAATTAAGTAGAAACTGTAAAAGAGCTTTCTCAGTACCCCAAATCATTCATCTGGTCACAGGTGCCATAAGGAAAATCTAATTTCTAAAACTTCTTCTAATTTCTAAAGGAAATTCTTCTCCCCTAGAAAAATTAGGACTTAGTTGAAGTTTTATTATTAATATTCATATTATAACCAGTCATTATGATGAAATGACAACAACTAGGAGAGGAGGTAACATTTAATTTAATCAACCTATACATTCAAACTAAGATACAGTACCAGCTCTATTCAAGGCAAATTGATTTTGACCATGTGATTGTATTATCTCAGGTACAGAACAGACATGAACACTCTACCTGCATATGAAGAATTACTCAGTTTCACAGAGCACTCACATGGCCAGAGCAGGGAACTGGGTGGGGGAGGACGGGGGTGCTGGTGTGTAACCTCTTTCTTCCAGGTTTTAATATAAATACAGACTAACCAAGTGCTGCCAGGAAATGTTTAAATAAACAGGAAATCTGTGCAACAATGATAGATTTCAACATTTCAACAAGGGCAGCACAATGACAGGCATTTAAAGAACTCTCTTCCTGCACGTGAGTTATATTTGGAGTTAATGGGTTTTACCTTGGGCAATTTCATGTTTCTGTAACATAATACTTCATTCTATAAAAACAGTTCTGAATTTTAGTAGGCTAGAGGGCAAAGCTGTGAATACACAAGGAGGCTTTTTGGTTTGTCTCCCACCCCCCAGTCAAAGGAAATAAAAACCCTCATCACTTTCACAAACCTCGGCCAAAGAGACAGTGTTGGCATCTTTTTGGAAACTTCCTTTCCCATTCCTTTCCAGCTAAACATATCTTAACCATGACAGCTCCATGAAAGGAAACTAACAGAGCCTATGGGAAGGGGAGCACAGTTTAATATTAAAACAACATATAGACACAGTCATTTTACTTTACCTGCAGATTTTTAATTTTATATACATCATATCCTTTAATGCTATCATAATCCTAAAAGGTATTGGCGTCCTAACCTTACTGAGAAAGGATATGAGAATATTAGCAATTTACATTAATTTATTAACATTCTGGTTTTGGTGTTTAAGTACCTTTAGGGCCTACAAAAACCAAAGAACTGGATATCAAGTGATGTCAAAAGACACTATACAGTGTTTCATACCAAATGAACTAGCATTTATTTTCCCTACTCAATTAAAGCCAAACCTTTTCACTGAGCTGAGGTACTCCTTTGGTTAATGAATTAACTATCATCTTACCTCCCTCTGGAAGAAATTCCAAGCATGGGTCAGCCACTGGTACCTAGGTAAGCCATAATTGGTCATCCTGGCTTTCAGTGTGATCATATCAGACCACTGCACTGGAACCTGGAGCAAGGAGAGAGAAGTGACTGACACAGTGGATCAGCAGCCTTGCGGCTCCAAACCCACAGGTTCCATCTGTACTGAGATCTTTCCAGTGCCATGACTAAAACAACTGTGTACACAAACAAAACAGGAAAACAAGTGTTGCAATTTTTATGATACTAATAATTTACAAGCCTTTCTTAAAATATCAAGGAAAAGTTGTGTCCTTTGCTTACAAATTAATGTACAATGAAAAGCAGTTACATTTTGGATACATTCAGGGATGATTTGGTACAATTTATTTATATCATTACCAGATTTTTTACTTGGCATAAAACTTGAACTAAGTCCCATCCAAGTCATCAGGGATGTATTTGTCTGCCCTAGTTTAGGTATCTCCCTGGTGTTGTCTTAGATAACAGAAATAAACAGACAGACAAATGGGGAAATTCACCTCAAGATAAATAATTTAAACAGAGCAGATGAATCATTCCCTTGAAGTCTCAAATCCACTTCACTGTCTAAGGTGAAAAACTTTGATTTAAATGTCTAACTTCTACACATGTAAAATTAATTGAGATGAATTCTATCCCTGGAGTTTTTTCAGCCATTTTTTGGCTTTGTCTGGAGTCCTGCACACAGGGATCCTGAATGTGCTCCATTTCAGTCACTTGCTCAAGATCAGTAACGAGGAAGTGTAGACAAGGCCCTATGACCTTTTTTCCCCAAACACACTCACAGCCTTGTGAATATCTTCTCTTCTGAAAGGATTCCTGAAGTATTGTTCTTTTAACTGTGACAACCCAGAAGTGAGGTGCTGGAGCACTCCATTGTCTGAATATGACACCTCAGTTAGCACTTTCTTGCAAACAGAGGCAAGTGCTATAGCACCTGGCATACAGTGAAGTTATGAGTCAAAATCAAAACCTCACTTCAACTCAGCAGCACAATTTCAGTGTGCCAAAACAAAACAAGGATCTCAAGACTGCAGTCACCATTCCATGTCACCACATACCATCCACTCTGAGTTTTACCATGTCTCTATCAGACTTAATAGTCACGGTGAAAGAAACAACAATTGCAATGTCAGCTGTCACTGGGATGGGAGGGGAGCCCAGCTCCTCTAGCAGCCATGACTTTGCTCTCCTATTCAATTTGAAGCTAACAGTAAGGACATTCTGTAAAAAAATGTTATCTAAGGAAAGAAAATTTACACAATACTTTCCAAGGAACCTGGTCTTCATTGTGCTAGATACTCTGCAAAAATATAGAGACAATCACTGCCTGCCTAAACCCCTAATACAATTAGGAACATTTGATAACATTTCATTATCACTGCTGAGTTATACTACATTTTTGATGCCCTAGTAAAGCTTCAGATCTTCAATGTATTAATAAGGTCCCAGAAATTTACATGCCTTTCACTTAGCAGATTTTTGCAATGAACTCACAATGGTTCACATGAAAAATATGTTAGCAGTAGAGTACTAAAAATACATAAAAGCATTATCACAGAATATTTGTATCAGAAACATTTACACAGGTCACTATAATTAATTTAGTTTTGTACTCATTGCATTTCTCTTTCATCTGCATTGTAAGCGAGCACTCTGCTTTCTTTGGACAATATTTGACAGTGCTGCAATTAAGCAAATATTTGCTAGAATATTTTTTTTAACTTACTTGAGTTAAACACATTCCAAGGTTATGTCCACAACAGAATACATCCAACTTCTTTAGGAAATCAATGGAAAGCAGGGAAAAAAATACTCAAGAAGTGAGAGACGGAAATTAAAAGCAAAGTGAAACAATGTAAACCCCACTGCAAGAAAGCAATTTGAATGCTGGAGCTAAGGAGGGATTTCAGAATCTGTGTGTTTGCTGCAAGAATGCCAACAGGTAAAACTGTACAGGTAATAGGTACACTGATGTAATTATTAAATATCTTCCTGTCACCTCATATACACTAGTGCACAATAATACGTGATACAGATGCAATTGTTTGACTATACCCAATACTCATGTGCAGACAAACAAAAACTAGAGATGGTGCTTTCATTTCAACCGAAGTTCTATAAAGCTCAGTCTGCCACTGAGATCTAATTACTCATTATTATTTTTCTAGTGACTATCAAAGCTTGATCAATGTGTAAATAAGCCAAGGACCCACACTGGCTTTTCAATCTTGTGGGTGGAATAAATTAGTCATGAGGCACACTACATGCTGAGAACTATCATGAGCTAGAAGGAAAGCTGTTTATGCAAGGACCCTTAGAGCAACTTGTCCACATACCAAGGAAAGCCCATACTGATCAGCAGAGGCAGTTACACCTCAGTGACATTTCTGACAACACCACCCACACTACACTACACACTCACCTACACTAATGCCAGCTGATCTCTGAAACCCACCAGGGGCTCATGTGATTTAATGCTACACTGAAACCAGTATGATATCAAGACAACTCTATGGTTATAAGAGGGAAGTGTCTTATCTTTATGGAGTAGGAGGAAGCATATTCTATGGAATGACCTGCACAGGTATGGAAGAACCACTGAAAAAATTAACTGTTCTCTTCAAGACCTCCTCATGATTTTCAGCAGCAAGAAACCCACCTCATCACATGAAGAACAGTAGTGTTAGGACGAAGGGAATAATAGTAAGAAATCAGATGGAAAGAGAAAACAACAAAAAAAGAACAACCAAAGAGACCCAACCTAAACCAGTATTTCAGGAGATGAGGAAGAAAAAAATATATATATAGATAGGCAGAGAAGAAAAGAGAGAAAGAAAAGAGAGAAAGAAAAGCAAAAAAAGAGCAACTGTGTTTGCTGTGACCCACTGCAGAAGATGCAGACATGTAATCCAGTGCTGCTTCCTTTAGCAAAGGGCTGAAGGGACAGCCATGTTTCCTTCGGAAGGGAAAAGCATGACTGGTGACATAACATATGGTAGGGCTATGCCAGCCTTTATCAAACTGTCCCAGGTTTGGGTTTCAGTAGAATGGTAGATAACCAAAAGCTTGGGGGTCATACTAAAACACACCATAACTTCAGATTTTCCAATTAAATAGTGGAGGCTGAAAAAGCATGTTCCAGTGCTGTAAAAGCTATGTTATTTTGTTATTTCACACAGTTTCCAATGACAATATTTTTGTGGAATTATGCATTTTAGTTGTAACAATCATCCTTGGCAAAACCCCTGCAGAGGGCAGCTGTGCCCATAACATGAAGAATGCCTCTTGTCTGTATTCCCAATTTTAAAATGAATCAACGCAAGCTGACATTTAAAGCAAAGGAACAGCCTTAATCTCTATTGTATTAGAATAGCTTCCTGGAATCTGTACTGCAAGGGAATGGCTTCTGATGCAAAGTCCTGCTATGTAACTTCAAATCTGCCAGAAATTCCTTTGGTACAAGTACTGTGTAAATATCAAGAAAGCCACCTCACATCTTACTGCAATATAATTGTCATTCACTGTTGGAAAGACCATTATATTGGGCATATCTTGGCAGTCCCTTTGTTCATAAAGATGTACCAGACTGAGTACAAGATGTAAGGATATAGCAGCCAGCAGTTACATTTCAGTTTAATTTGCTCAACACTTACCTATTTTCTTACATGATGGCTAAAAGATCTCAGTTTGAAAAATTAAAAGATTGGTGTAGTTATAAAAACTGGACAAGAGATAAAACCTCTTCACAAGTTTACAGAAGAGTGTTTTATAGTCAAGACATGTTTTGCTTAAACCTGGCATTTATAGCTTGTGGAGGCAGTGTGCAGATTTTAGCAGGCAGCAAGTCCTCAAAGGAAAGAACATGCTGTCTGCTTACAATGTAGTACACTCTTTAAAACACAAAGAACTTTTGGACAAAATCCCTTCAAATTCTCTCGTATCCTCTCTCAGAATCCGTATTTAAGCCTGAAGTTCTAATTTATCCTCAAAAATATAAAAGACTTCAATGAGAACCTGCCTGAGCAACAATTAAAAAAAAAATTAAGTTCTTAAATGGGGGGATGAAGTATTTGGCTCCCAAATATAGAGGGGGTAAGGAGAAACCCAGACAGGGCCTTCCAGACAGACAAGCTCTCCCAGGAGAATTCTCTGTTTAAAAAGAAGGCAATCAGTTGAAATTAAACTGTCAGAATAATGAACAGAGATAAACACTACAGCAATTAGAAAACAGCTAGCTAATAGAAAACTTAGTTTTATTCTGCTGAAAAAATGCAGCCTCCTTTTCTGACTCACCGTTATTTCCTGCTCGTAGGTCCAAACACCACAGGCCAGTTCAACGCAGAATATTACAAGCAAGCTTCCAAAATACTGCAGAAAACAGAATGGTCTTAGCTATTTTTTATCCTCTTTGAAATAAAAATATTTTTTAAAGTTTAATATTGTTAAGTCTTTTTTCAAAGTTAAAGAACATCTGAAAATATTAAAATTTCACATGATTTAAGACATGGAAACAAAAATACATTTTTGTAACAAAAGATGGAAGACTCAGGCAGTAAATTTTATAAAAGCTAAACTCATGGGACATTTCTTTTGTGAAAACAACATTCTTATCAAAGTGATTTAGATATATAAGGTCTGGTCTAACTGTACAAATACTTAGAGATTAATTGACTATCTTTTACTATTAAAAGGTATAACCCTTGAATTATTTAAAAACAGGAAATACAAGCGTAAATGAAGAAGTACATATCTTGGTAATGATGCTTAAAAAAAACTGGTTGCTGCAAGTAAAAAGAGCAGGAGTATCTTCTTTATAGCATCAACAAACACTTCTGAACTGCAGGATAAAGCTACATGGAATTTAAGGCTGTTTTAACTGGTGTTCCCTACTAAAAATAACCCTTTTATCTTTCATTTAAAGCAGTACACTCTCATTCATTCTTGACTCCAAACTTTCTTCCATGTCAGTGGACTGAGCTTCCCTTTGTTCTCAGTACACAAGACTTTAAAGCTACAGTCTTCATGGATTTTAATTTAATTTGAAAATCAAAGAAACAACATCACAATATAAAATAGAATAGAACAAATATATAATTCCATCATTAGGATACATGTACATATCATTATATATCCTACATATCAGTAGGATACAATTAGCAGCTTCTACTTTAGTTATTTCGTTCTGGAATCTAGGACACAAAATATGTACTTATGGTAAATAATTTTTTTCTATTAATGGGTAAATAAGATTAATGGGTAAATAATACTCCATTTAAAACAGAGTACAAATCCACAAATGTTAGGCTTTAACAGTCATCTACATAGCACCTTTTTCATTCATCTGAATGAAAGGTCAGGAACTGAGTAATTCACATGTACCTTGGCAGCTACTGGTCTTGCCTTAATCTCTACTTGCTCACCAAATCCAACTCCTTGAATTAGGCATGTAGACACACACAGAGATATGTAAGAAGTGTGTGTAAATACATCATGTTAATTTTCAGGAGAAACCTAACCCATAGCCTCTCCCTGCAAAGGTCTCTCCAATAAAGACAGTACTGAAACGAGGATTCCTGTTTTACTAGTTTTCATCATGTCACGTTGCATCTTTACAGTTGTTACAGCTGAACAACACACTGCACTTCCTTACAAATCAACACTGTAGGCACACACAGAGCTCCAGTATAGGTCTTCAATAACCAAAATGGTCATCCTCCAAAGGTCCAAAAGAGGAAAAACATGAGTCACAGCTTCCTAGAACACTGTTTTATCTAAAAAATAAATTCATGAGCTTCTATGCAATGTATCTACTATCACTGCAGTGCCTAGTAGCTATGCAAAGAGTGCTTTAAGATAAAGCAAACATAGAAATCTACTTTTCTAAGTATTCACTTTGGAAGCAGGAAAGAATGCCACATGCTCTCTTAATAAGCAATTATAATAAAAAATGTTTAAGGGCACTATGACTAATACCAACATTTCTGAGAGGGAGAAAAACTAAATGTTTCATTAAAAGTGCATTTCACTTCTCTGCTGTCAGAAGAAATTTCAGTGGGTTTATACTCTTAACTGAATAACAAGCTTGGGATTGTCTGCCATCTCTGAATCTTACATAAAAATCACTAATTGTGGTGAAAGCGATACATCTGGGAGTGTACATATGGTGTCCTCTGCAAAACTCTTAATTTGCAGGTTTTTGTAACATTTAATTCATTCATCAAGCTTAACATTTGAAACTTCTCCATCTTTCTCAGTGCCTAAGTTAAGAGTGTTTGTGGTAGCAGTAAAAGACAGAAGAGCCAAACCCAAGATTTTCTCCTATTACTGAATACAGCCCAAGATAGAAAACTATTTAGCCAGATTCACTCATAAACCACTTCTGGCTCTGCCAGGGACTGAGCACTCCTACATCTATATATCTACATCTACAGGAACTAGCTACATCTATATATCAGGGCACTGCAGAATCAAGCTTTCTGTCCTGAGAAAGCCCATCTCTGCCCATAACATAAAAGAGGAAACAGTGAGCTTACACACTTGAAAGGCCATGCTCTGAATTGAGTGACTGCAGGCACACTGAACTCGCACACAGGAGGTTATTTCTTTCCACTACTGAAAGGGAGTATTATATCTCTCTATATATAATGGTTTGCAAAACAAATACTTCTTATAAAAGATGTTTTTTTTCTGGGGAAAAAATCCTCTAACCGTTATTTAAATGTATTACCCCTAATTTCCATCTTCCAAATCTAGAAATTATTATTGGCTTCAATGCTTATTCCTTGTCCCCAGTTAAATTCCCACAAGAGCCTAAATGCTAAATGCATCTTCCTGCATTTCCATGCTTCTGGCTCTTGCCAGAAATGGGGACTTGGTTTTGAAGCAGGCTTAACATTTCTTCCTGTGAGCCATGAGGCTTCATGCCGTAAAGATGAGTAACTCACTGAGGAGCACAGTTGTGTATCACACTCAAAACTGCACCAGGAAGTCCCTGATAGTGCCTTTTACAGAACATCTCCCTCAGAGTATTCCTGGCCATTGCTGAGATATTTTCTATAGATGTTTTGTATTTTCTAACATCTGTGATTGTTTTAAGAACTGGAGACCCTTTACAAGGCAAATCCTACTGACTTTTAGCATTTCCCTTTTGTAGGCAATTTCTAATCACTATCATTCTCTCCTTAGTCTGACATGCGAAGTAATCAGAAAACTGGAGTGGTGCCTTGATCCTGTTATGAATCCATCAGTTTCACTGAAGTATTTCTTCCTCCAGTAAAACTGTGAAAAACCTAAAATGTTGCTTCCTTGAGAGAAGCTGAATGACTGAAATGCTGGCAGAAAACACTCTTCAGAGAGTAATAAATCAAAGTAAAAATACTTGCCAACTTAAAAAATAAATACAGCATTAGCCATTTACTACTCCATATGTCATGCTTGTGACCAAGATACTCAACTTCAGCATCCCTTCATTGTAAAATGGATGTTGTCAGTTAGCAGGAGCTGGTCTCCTGCAACCCCCTTGTTAAGCCTGCTCTACTACAGGTCACAGGCTGAAAGGGAAAGAGGGAGAAGAGAGGGAGGCAGCAGCTCTGTAAAGCAGTAGTTTTCCAACAGGAACATTTCATCTAACACCTGGATCACTGCACAAGTACTTGCATTTGTAGCACTGACAGACTGCAGAGGCTTAACCAACTCTGTTTTTCCAGCACATCAGTCCTGAAAGAGAGGTGAAGGACCTGGGGGCTCAGGAGAATCGGGTTCTCCTTCCTTTTCTGCACAAGAGACTAACCATTCAAGAAGTGGGAATAGAAACAAAGTCATTACTGTGAAAACTACTTTCAGAGATGCAAAGAGGCATGAAGGGCCAAGAAAAGATAGTAAAGATATTCCATATGTAATCACCAGGGCCTGTTCTGCTGGAATAGTCTTTGCGTGGTACAGCCACAAAAGTGACCACAGCCAATATTCAAATCCTGAAACCTCCAGTGCAGAAACCACAAACAACAACAGCATGGAATCCCATCACTGAAACACTACCTACTAGTGCAGAGATGCTACCAGCTTACACTCACCTACTGTAACTTGTAACAGCCTTCATAGAGCTGCTGCTCCTGGGAAAGTCAAACAACCCCAAGTTCACATCTACAGGGAATTCAGATATAAGACAGAAAGGACAGGAGGACAGTGAATGCAAATCCCATTATGATGACTTTCAGCCACAGAAGGGAGGTAACCATCAAGTAAATAAAGACAAAAACCAAACCAAAACACAACCAACACCTACCAAACAAAAAAACAGAGACAAGTATTGAATAGGTTTTATCCTAATTCAAATAGTTATCTGAATAAAGGCTATGAGAACCTGATAAAGCACTAAGAAATATACATGGTGTTTTCAGATATGCATTAAAAATCAAAGTAATTAAAACCTATTTTATAAAGGTCTGTATAAACTGTGTAAATATAATAAAAAAATTCAGTCTGAATAAAATTTCTGCACACCACAGTGGCACCCCACAAGACGGTACAAGCTCCATATATGCCAGTGCTCCATACAGGGAGCATATATGCTCTGGCATACACCGAAAATTATTTCCTATCTCTCCATCTAAGGCTAAAAACTAAATTACAATATTAGTTTATCCTAAATAAATTGACTGGCTTTTTTGGTATTACATTCATTCTACCAAACTAAGCTAATGTCCACCACCACCAAATATATTCCCAGAACATATTTCCTTCTTGATCATCTCAATCACTTAGACAAAAACACAAATAAAAATAGCAAATGCAAGAACAAAATCACTTTTACTGAATCTAAGGCATTTTACATTTGTTTAAAAGGATTTCAACGGCTCCCATTCTGTTCAGAGAGTAATAGCAAAGAGCAGACACATGGAAGTGTCTCCCAACATAAAATCTCTCCCTCATGGCTTTCCAGCCTGCTGAGTACATGATTTTTTGTTGCAATTGTGGGCAACTTAGGGGCAAAAAAAAAGTAGTGGGCAACAATCTTTTGCAGATATGTAATATAAAATTCTTACTGTAGTTCTACAGATTTTGTGTTGAATATACTACATGATACCTGCAGTTAATAACCTAATGTAATTTGTCCACGCTTTTCAGGCAAGAGGTGAAAAGAACTGGTGAAAAATAACCTATTTCTGTTACTAACATGGCTACAGGATGATGGAGAACACTAAGAAAACACAGTACATGGAGAGTGATTTTGAAATTCTCACAGATTTTTTAACAGCACAAATATTGAATTCTAACTACATTTAGCAAAGGAAAACTTGAGTTAAAACTCTAGTGCCCTACACTAGTTTCCTTCAGTGCAACAGCCAGGGCAATGTCAACAGCCAGTG